GAGCAGAGGAGTAGAGCTAGCCCTGCTCTCTAGAGCAAAGAGCACAGCCCAGCCCAGCCTCAAGTGAATGGGGGCAGAAGGGATTTAATTTTGCTACCATCCCGTCCCATTGGCATAGAGCTGGCCTGGGGCAGAGCCAGCTGAGCATGCAGCTGCGGGAGCAGCTTTTGCCCGGCAGCCCCTTCCACCCACTGGACAGCAGGGTCCGGACTGGCACTGGCACCCGTGATGTGGGCTTGCCCCCTCAGCCCCGAGCCCTATTACCTACAGACACAGAGCTGGGTGTGTCCTGCTCACTATTCCCCTACCCGGCAACAACAGCACAGCCCCGTGTACTGGGTGCCAGGGGTGGGGTGCTACCCCTATGGCTTCCCCACTGCTGCTGCTGTCAGGGGGGGCCCACCCTGGCCATACTGGTAAGTGTTGCCTGCACTGCCAAACTGCGGTTGGCCGCCAGGCAGGCAGACAGCAGCAGCAAAGCTGTAGGGGTAGCGCCTCACACTTGGCACATGGGGCTGTGCTGTGCCTATGGCTTCCCTGCCACCACCACCTGAGATGCAGACAGATGCTGTCTGGGCACGGTCCCCTTAAGGTGAAGGGGGCAGGGAGAGGGTTTATTTCTCCCTCCGCCCCATTCCCACTGGGAGACTGCAGCCGAGGTCTGTCAGCCCCAGCCGCTGCCTCTGCTGCCTGTCCCCAGCCCAGCAGATCCTGTCTGGGGTTCCCAGGTAGGGAGGGGGAATAAACCCCACCTGTGGCCCCCCCCCAGTGAGAGAGGGGATGGAGGAAGGAATAACCCCCCTTCGCTTTAAGGGACCATGCTGGGCCAGTGTCTGTCCAATGTCCTAGGTGGTGGAAGTGGGGAAACTAGGTGCAGCACAGCCCCGTGTACCAGCCATGGGGCATTACCCCTACAGCTTCCCCATCACCATCTGCCCACCAAGCAGCTGAGCACAGTTTAGCAGTGTGGGTGGCACCTACCAGTATGGCCAGGGCACCCCCAAACACCAACAGGGGAGTCACAGGGGTAGTGCCCTGAGCCTGGCACCTAGTACATGGGGTTGTGCTGCAATGCCACCAGGCAGGGGAACAGTTAGCATGGTGTGCCCGGCTCCGCACCCAAGGGACACAGGTAATAGCACTGGGACTAAGAAGGTGAGCCTGTGCTGTGTGTGCCACTGCAGGGGCTGGAGCCATCCCGGGCGCCGCTCTCCAGCAGGTAGAAGGGGCCGCTGGGCAGGAATTTTCCTTTATGGAACTTTGTCCCTGGGCCCCTCCTCCCTCCCAATCAGGCCTTTGCTCCTGGGCTGCCCCCAAGCGAAACCCGGCCCCAGTGGCTGGGAAGGTGCAGCAGAACTGCATACCGGCTGGGAGGGAGGCTCTGGGGGTCCCGGGCCATGCTGAGCCATGGGCAGGGGGAGAAAAAGCCAGACAGACCCTGCAGGCCAGGGTAGGGGTTTAAATCCCTCCCCAATCATATTCAGCCTGCTGGGGCCTGGCCACAGCCCCTTCAGTTCAGCTTCCCTCAAGCCTGAAGGAACGGGAGGCCTAGCTCTAGCGACCCCCAGCTTTTAGCTTGTACACTGCAGGCATGTGCCTGCATTTCCAGAATCAAAAGTGAATGTCTATTCACTTGCAAATCAGTTCAATCCACGCAGGTTAGACTAACCTGCAAAGACTGAATCAACCCAGGCTCTGGCTTTCTGAATGTCTGTCCCTAGCCTAAATGGCCTCTCAATGCTGTTTTTCTTCAACACATCCAAAGTCATGTTGCACAATGAACAAAACAATTTACCTCCAAGCTGAAATGTATTTAGCTTTTGGGGGTTTCTTTTCACTCATCATCTTCAGACTAAAGCACCGCTGAACCACTGCATCTAGCTTCTTAAAAGATGGTGCCGAAACATTTTCGCTTTCCTTGACTGGTGCCTTCGCTGAGTCTAGGTCACTTGCTCAGCCTCTCAGTAACTCTCTCTCAAACCACATGCCCTGTGGCTGCAGGGACTGCCATGCTTTCCGTGTGTTCCAATAAGTTTTTATTTTTGGGGGGCAAAAATCACAAGACAGCGATTTAAGTAGGTCTCTAAGTTAGGATGTTCTTGGGACTTCTGGACAATATGCCTACTGATTTGATGGGGTTGTTTGTGTAGTTTTGAGAACAGATTAGATAAACAGTTGTATAAGATAGTTTAGAGATAAATGTTCCTGCCTTGAATATGGGGGTTGGACTGGATGTCCTCCTGGGGTCCCTTCCGGCCCTACTTTCTTATGATTTTCTATGAACTTTTCTGTTATAGAGCTGTAGGAGAGAACAAAATTACCGCAGTCAGAGGCAGCAAAATGGAAATAACTTCAGAGTACAAGATTTAGAAGTTTAGAGCTTTGCGCTAGAAAGGAGAGAGACTCCACAAGAATTATTGATGGAGTGGTTAAGAAAAGCTTATTCTCTTTTGTCTATCTATAAAAGTTGAAGTAGTATGTAGTCCCATGTACAGTACCTCAGATATTGCAGGAGCTCCATCTGCTAGAGACAGCTGCTGAGCAGATGGAGTCCTTTTTGAAACAATTTCAAGACATAACAAAAAACAAGGATGAAAATCGCTAGCTAATAGATAGGAATGTCCTCTACCTCAGTCTGGTATCCTGGACAGTACCAGATGCTTCTGAGAAGTGCGCCAGAAACTGCATTATGAATCAGGTATAGAATAAACTATCCGTACAAAGAGTTTAAGACCAGCCAGACAGAGGTGATCTTATGTCTTAAAAGAGCAAGGGGGCAACCATATCGGCAGAAGTACCACATCCTCCCTAACTGCCACTCCAAACCTCTTCCACTGCCTGGTCTGCATTCTGCTTTCTGCTCCCTGCTGTATCTGTCACTGCTGCCTGATCTCTTCCCAATCAGCTGTGTGCCACCCCGCGCTACCTGCAGCACAGGTGGTTGGCTACCTTTCTCTTAAAACATGAAGCTTTCTATTCCTTAACACTCATTATGTAAACTGGATGACTTCCATTAACCACAGAAATGTCTAATCTTTTTTGGAATCTTATTGGTGAGGCCATGAGTCCAATCTCTTGTTCCTTATGTTATTTCATGCATCTTAAGATGTATTACATTATAGTTTGCCGCCTTTCAACATCCCCTTGTTGTTGCATGCTGTGAAAGGGTAAATATATTTGAATACTCTTTCATTTGACATCTGACAATAGTCAGACATGAGGACAAGGCATTCTGAGATTTATAATAAACCACTAGTGATTACATAGTTACTGAGCAAAGTCCAATTCAGATGCATTGTGTTCTCGCCTGCTTTTAAAGAACGGTACTGTGGTAATGTTATGCTAAGGGATACTGAAAGGAAAAGTAGTACCATAAGTATGTAAAACAGTTAAATCTGAAATATAATACTCAACACAAAAAGCTGTAACATCTGCAGGTGAACTATTAAATAGGACACTGCTTGTGAAAGGAGTAGCACATTATCAAGTGGAGAGCACAAGATTATCCCATAAAATTTTTTACTGGTCCTGTAAACTGTTTCAAATTGACATACAGATTTCCTAAAAATTAATCTCAGCCCTGGATACTAAACACACTCTTTAGGCCCTGTTGCCCTGCCTCTGGTCAAGATCTCTAAGGTTTACAGAATAACTTTGGAAAGGAACAAATAATTTTTAAACTATTCAAATAGTTGTATTTTCTCCTCTTTCTCCCCAGCAGAATTAGGACAGTTGGCAATACTGGTACATTCAATAATATAGTACTGTTCAGTTCTCTAGGTAAAACTTTGTTATACAAAGAATGTGAAAGATACCCTGTCCCAATAAATAAATGGTTTTATTTTCCACAGGATTAATCAACACTTGTTTCACAAGCCTCAAACAAGGTCTGGACCTTTCAGATTGCCATCAGTAAATTGTTTCCTTGTCACTGGGTTTTATTCAACTGAGTCAGATTTTCCCTACTCCCTACGTACTTCATTTAAAATTAAGGAGGTCAAAAAAAGACTTCGTTACCATCTCAAATTACCCAGATCCTCTGTCAAGTCATTTTCCAAAAGAACATATACATACAGTTTCTGACAATCTGCAGACAAAAACAAACAAGAGGTTCTTTTCCTGAAGTTAACAAAAAGATTTTAGTTATTCCACTATTTTGGCTACAGTCTGTTATTTTAGATATCATTATCTGTAATCTCCAACAGTGTAGCAGTGTTGATTTACAAGTTAGTAGATATTTTGCTTTCCAAAACTAGCTGAATTGTTCAGATGAGTTTTAAGCAGAGCTGCAGAAAATGAAGTTTAGAACCAAAAAACAAGCCACGCTCCACCCTGTTCACCATCTTTAACTGGCCAAAAGCAGTATTCACTTCACCTTAAAAGCAGTACCTGATGTCCTGCTTTCATAAAGAGTCTCTCTTTCCTGCAGTGTGGAAGTCTCGACCATGCCACAGGACTTTTCAAGAACACTTTATACGCAACTTTTTTTTTTTTTTTTTTAAAGAGTAAAAAAAGGAATTATACTCTTACCTTTCAGCTTTTGCCCTTGAAAACTGTTTCCCCTAGGTCTGCCTGACTGCCCAAAAATAAGTTTCTAAACATGGCCTAATTTTTTAAAGGGTCATCCCAACTCTCACTTTAGTCAATGGCAGTTGCTGAATAATTCATATTTGAGAAATAAAGCCACTACTATATACACATAGCTAAATACATTATGTTAGACTTCCACATTTGTAGATTTTGGTCCATCAGTCAAATGCCAATGATCAATTTACACCAAACAGTTTAACACAGTGCACATTCATTTGTGCAGACTATTGTTAGAGAAAGTTTTTGTTTACTACACAAGAGAAGTCTAGGTAAGGACGAGCTTGGAAAGAAGTTAAAACAGTTAAATTACAAAAGTCAAATTCAGAATGTTTGTTTCATAGTACTCTACTTCCAATCAAAACCAGCCCATGCTTTTTCCAAGGAACAAAAAGATGGAACCAAATACTTACTTTTTTTGTGTCAGATCTAAACCACTGTTCATTATTCCATCCACTTTTACATTTTTCTGTCCACAGATATTTCCATAACTGTCATATCCTGAAACCAATCTTGCAGCTGCTCCAGTGGCTATTGAAAAGCCACAAATTAACCCCTGGAAGGGAAGAACAAGAATTAACAATGCGCTTCTTAAATATTGTCACAAAAGAAAGACCAGCTGATGCATCACTGGCAATCCCTCATCACAGTGAAGGATGACTGTCTTCCATAATTGCTTTATCTGTGGGTCCAAAGGTGGCTGACAAAGCTGATCCAGGATCAACAGACAGTTGCAACTCGGGCACGTTTCCGTATGGGGTGGGTGTCTCTAAATTCCAGATTCAGTCTGAGAGACACTGTTTCTGTTGCTCCCACTTGTCCACTTCCTGTTGTCGTCATAAGATTTCAAAGTACTAAGATCCTTGCAGCAGACTCTTCTTGCTTCATTTTACAAAATTCCTTCCATTTCAAAATGAAATGTCTAAGCCAATCCAGAAAAAACTATCACATGGCTATAAGTTTAACACACATACAAACTGAGATGACAACTCAGATTTTCTAAATGTATTTGTTACTCAAGAGGACCAGAGTATATCAAATGCGTCGTAAAAATCAGCATAAAACTAAATTCTTCAGATTATTATTATTATTATTAATAACAGATTATTAACAGAAAGACAAAGAAGAAACAAATATAGTACAAATGATCATGTTTAGTATGTGCCACAGTAATTTTCAAGGGGTTTTGTTTATTTGAAGAGTTTTTTCTTTTTTTAGGCTGCTAAGAATTGTGAGGATAGAACTGGAGTGGCAAGGCCTTTTTAAAATAAGAGCCTTTTAAAAAAAGTACTCCAAGTAGAAGAGGCTAGACCATGTCAGAGTGACATTTTAAACACAGGTAACCAAATGGAGAAGAGAACAAAAATAAGTACAAGAATGCAAAAGGAACAGTTAGCACAGTATAAAGACAGAGATGGAGCAAAGTGGGAAAGCAAAACTTTAGAGAGCAGATCCAAGGTAATATCAGGCACTTTCAGCTTTCACAGACCTCACATAGGAGAAATGGGTACAAATGGAGACTGGATGTAGATGAGGAGTTTATGCCCTGAAAGCATCAATTATCTCTTTGAAAGTGATTAAGATAGCAAGATCCTGGAGAGGAAGTGGGAGTCTTAAATTTGCTCTGGCTGTTCAGTGATACCATAGGAAGAAGACAGATGGAAGCCACGGCTTGGAAATAGTGGCAGGGGGGAAAAAAAGGACCAACACCCAAAA